TTTAACTAGTTATAGAAAATATACTTTAAAATGTATCTGTAGATGATATTTCCAGTAGGCAAAAGTTGACATGTAGAGACAAATTCATTTTTCAGTTTTTGTATTTTTCATAGGTCCAAGAAGCAAAGGTATAAATGCTCTATGAAAACTATCCAAGGCCAAAAACCAGAGCTGCACCCTAATTATTCTTTCCCACTTGGGAAAAAACTGCTACAGGCCTATTAAAATAGCTTATCTTAGTCTGTTATATAAAAGAATTTATGGTGTAATTGGGGTGATGGATGATTTCCCTTAAGACTTAACATATTTGATCTAATTAGGCAAAATGATGAACCAAATTACAAATTTTCAGGTGATAGTAGGTCAAAGAACTGTGAATAAAATGGTTTTATTTTAGGAAAAAAAGTGTGAAAAGGTTTCTAAATATGTATATTTTGTCATTCTTTCTAACATGTTACCTCTTCAGCCTGAAATATGGAAAGATGTTAAAATTTGAAGAAAAGGATAGATAATTCCTAAGAAACTAATTAGCTTTCTTTTTTGACAGGTCTTAATTCTGAAGGACTATATCCGGTATCAGGATTTAGTGACCTAATTGAAGATGTCAAGATGGCTTTTGACAGAGGTATTTTCTTCAGCATATTCAATAACTTAGGACAATTGTACTCTTTGCCAAAAAGGCACAATATTTTTTTTATTTTTGCATTATTTTTCTAAATCATTGATGATTATTACACCAAATAAGAAGATTTAGTTTATAATTTATTAACTTTTTTATTATAAGTATTAAACTGTCCAATTTCAGAGTGAGAAAGAAGCATAAATTTTAAGTATGTTACCAATACTTGAGTATCTATGTCTGGTCCATGTTCACCAAAATACCAAAATACATACAGAGCAATTAAAATTTACCAAAAACCACAGGTCTCAGACTTCCCAGGATTGAGATAGCCCACCGAGCTCCCCTGTCATTCATGCTCCCCAGGCATCCTTGTCACCATCTTTGAGCTGAGCTCCAAGTCTTGGCTCTTGTGCTAGGGCCAGAAAGCTGAGAGGAACTGAGGACCTTCTGGCATAGTGCCCACCCCACCATGGGAGAGAAAGGGGTTCAGTCAAAGAAAAACTCAGTGGAGATTAACTTTTTTAAAATGACATTTCAATTAAGATTTGTTTCTATGGTCCTCCAATTTGTCTTTGCTTTCAGTACTGGAATAAGGTGGTACCAAAGAAGAGATGTAGCCTCGAATACAGAAAGTGATAGAATAAGAGTTAGTGGTCTTTTAAAGAGCCTCTTTCCTTTCTGAATATATATTTTAGTTCCATTACACAAACCTCTCCCATTCACAAGCCTCTTACAAGCAACAGAGGCAGAAGAAAAAAACAAGTTAAAATTATTGCCAACCTGATATAAGAAATCTAGGCTAGCCCCAGTATTAGATAAGAGCAAAAAAGGTGAGGTGAAGTAATGGGGTGTTAGGTCCAAGTAAGCATCAAGAAACAGAGGCCTGAATTCATGCCAAATTGAATGTTAAGAGGCTTTTCCATGAAAGGTAGAGCAACTGAGGTTGTTCATTTTCAGCCTCTGGCCATGATTCTCAAAAATAAGTCAACACTGACAAAGAAATTGAATGTTTGCATAGACCCCAGGAAGCAAATAAGTTTCCTTACATTAAAAATAAGAGACAACATTTTTGTGCCCTGAGAACACCAATAACAGATTTTTAAATTCATGAAGCACTCCCTTGGATCCATATAGCCCACACCTTTGGGGGCCAGTCTTTGGCTTCCCAAGGGATGTGCCCTGTAGTCATCTGGAGGCTCTGTATGAGTGATATAAAGAATTTTAACAAGGGTGTGAAAGAAACCAGTGGCTCACATCATTTAAATCAATTCTGTACATAAATGCTGCCCAAATCCATGAGTGTTCAAAGAAGTAGGGTATCAAATAAATGGAGCAAAGTAAATTTGAATTAAAAGTGGTCGCTTCTAGCAGACTTAACCCTCAAATAATGAGATCCAAGAAAGAAAAAGACAGGATCTATAGAATGTTGGAATGAATTCACTTAATTCGAGTGTTAAGGTTAAAAAGGCAGGCTTTGGGAAATCATCCCTAACTTAGGAGATAATCACTGAATGAAGAACTACTCTAAGGTGAGCAGATGCCATTATAGCTTTGCTACATTTTATCTTCTGGTAGAAGCACAAATATTTTTGTGACAGGTACAGTGAAAGATTCATGGGTCAAAGCAAATAAAACCCCTCGAGGCTTACCTCAGGAGAGCCCCAGTCTGGTTAAAAAGTCAAGAGCTGAAAGTAAATATGCGATTGGGAAACAAAGATGTTACCGACTGTTCTGATATGTTATAGCTCTGCTTAGAATGTAGTATCTGGATATCAAATTCCAGAATATGTTTATATTATTTTAAAACAGAAAAAAATTTTAAAAATAAAAAATAATACAGATGGAAGAGAATATGTATACATTCCAGACTTGAAGCATGTCAAGAAGGTGTACAGCTGTGACCTTACAATGCTCATGAAGGCACACTCTAAAAAAGCAGGTTTTAAAAGAACCAGTTTAATAATAATACATGGTAAGTCCCAGAGTGTTCATCTTTTAAGCTGCTAGCTTGTTATTATCTATTTTCCATTAAGTCATTAACTCAAATATATTTATTAAGCAGCTACTACATGCCAGGTACCATGTTCTTTACTTTAGATACAATAGCCATGTACATTAGGTACTTGTATTCATGGAGGATTTACATTAAATAATAATCACACAGTGGTTATTGACTTTATTTAAATAAGTGCCATAAA